TCGGATTTCTGAAAGTTCTAAGTATTATATTTAGGGATGATTTTATATCTAGAGGAGGTCTAGGTTGAATATTCAGAGGTTCCGAGCTTGATTTGACCTTTTTAAGCGGAATATTTGTTTCTGGTGACTTTCACGAGTTTCATGTCAAGGTGATCTCAGATTCATGTTTGATGGTTCCATTGAGTACGGAACTTTGAGTTTAGTCAAGTTACATATTTGGTTTGTGTGTATGGGATTCCAAACGAATTCTGAGGGTCATTTTAGGAACTATTGTGCCTTGTCTGAGTTGTTGTTGTTATCTGGTGCCTTAAGTTGTTCATCGCGATTGCAGGGCCCTCCTTCGCGACCATGTGAGACTGTTTTCTTGTTGGATCATGATTGTGTGACCCTATATCGTGATCACGATGGTCAAAATTAAATTATTTGACCTTTTAACTCATTGCGACCGTGAATCCTTGGTCATCGCGATCGCGAAGATAAATTTTCACCTGGGCCGAATGTTTTCCTAAAATTGGGATTTCAACCCCATTTCACTATTTTTTAGTATTTAGAACTCGGTAGAGGCAATTTCAAAGTGCATTTTCAAGATTCGATATTGGGTGATGATTTCTACATCCCTAACTCATTTCCCCATTTATTAATGGATTATATTGATGGTTAACATCAAGTTTTTGACTCCCATTGAAAGGGGTTTTGAAAAAGTTGAAGAAGTTTGATAAATTCGTGATTTTGAGTTGAATACCACTCTGTTTTCGAAATTGTTTTCACCAGTGGATTTCAAATGTTTTGGGTCACATATTTATTTAACAATTTTCATATTTAAATCTTATTTTTGTTATCGGGTTTTGAGCCAAATTGACCCATTTATTTAAATTGCTTGATATGTGTGTTGTTATTTTCATAATCTCATTGGAAATACTTGTTTGACTAGATTATGTTGATTTAGATATCGTTCATTAGGGAAAATCTCAAGTCTCGGATTGACTTTTGATTGGATTAAGACAAGCGAACTTCTAAACCTTGTTGAAACTTGTAGAATCCTGAACTCTCTTTCTTGTATGTGTTGGAGAGTAATGACAATGAGGTTATGGGTTAAATGCTCAAAAATGAATAAGCTTAATGATAGAAACATGATTAATTAAAATGGCAATGTGTTGATAATGGTGTATTGTGCATTGTGAATTGCCTTGAGTGTTGATATTGATTGGGTGATTGATGTGATACTTTGATAGTATTGTTGTGGATGTGAATTGATTGTGATTTTTATCTCTTCATTATTGTGAACATGCCTATTTGCATTGATTTTGAAACATTGTGAAGACATATGTTGTATTGATGTCGAATTCATTGTCGACGAGCGTGATTGATGCCGAGGTCATTGTCAACGAGTGTGGTTGATGTCAAGGTCATTGTCGGTGAGTGATTGATGTCGAGGTCATTACCGTTGAGTGTTATTGATGTCGATGTATTTGCTGATGAGTGTTATTGACACAATGTTTTTACCGATGAGTGTTACTACTGTCGAGGTCATTATTGGTGAGTGTTATTGATGTTGAGGTCTTTGCCGATGAGTGGTATTGTTGTCGAGGTCTTCGTCGATGAGTACATGGACTATGGGTGTTCCCTATGAGTGTCGATTGATATTTTTGCCTAATAATTTTGATACCTGTGTTTGGTTTACTTGATTGTTGTGTTTAATGATCGTGTTACTTGTGATTGATGAACATAACATATGCGATTGATGAATTGTAACTATTGAACTATGATTATGGAACCTTGTGAATTGTACTTTGTAAACTGTTAGGTTGGGCTAATTTCTATGCAGGTTGTAGATGTGACGGTTCAGTTGGGATAAAAGATGTTCTTATTTTCTTGCTAGTTTTACCTTGTTTTTAGTGGGTCACTTGCTAAGTCGTATTGTTTGGTACTCACCCCTTGCTTCTACACTTGTGTAGGTTCTTAGCCCGGATATGTGTGATTGCTTTTCTTCTATCTACATATGAGGCTTATCTGTGGACACTTTGAGAGGTAGCTGCTTGCCATCCCGGCGGGCCCTCTTGTTCCTTATTTATGTTCTATTCGAGATCCACTACAACACATTATATTTTTGCTTCAAGTTATAAAATTTGTGGCAATAATTAAATGATATAGCCACGTATTTTCTGGTATCATAAATTGTGTAGCTAATTATTCATTTTTTGCCACGAGTTGAAATTTATTGTAGTAATAATAATCTTTTAGACACAATAAAATATTTGAAACAAAATATAGTAGCTAAGTAAATAATTTTGCTTCAAGTTATAAAATATTTGTGGGAATTGTTAAATAATGTAGCCACGGATTATTTGCTGTGATAAAATTTCATAGTTAATTATTAAATTTTGTAACGTGTTGAAATTTATTGTAGTAATACTAACCTTTTAGTTATAAAGAGGTTGTTTAAAACAAAATGTAATAGCTAAATAAAAATTTGTGCTTTCAGTACTAAAACATTATATTGTAAAAATATAGTTGGCTGAAAACCTATATTTATTTATCATGATGAATTAAATAGCCATAAATTTATTATTGTGATTAATTTCATAGCTAATAATTTTTTTACCACGAGTTGGAATGTGTTATAATGATATTGATCTATTCTAGAGGTGTTAATTGTTTGATTTGATTTACGTTTATAGACCTACTTGTAAATTTCAAATATACTTTTAATAAATAAATACTTATATCTAATTAATTTTGATTAAATAATTTCACCATAATAATATGTTTACTGATCCAGTGTTATTCGAGGTGTTAATTGTTCGACTCAAGTCTACTATACAATATAATTTAGAAATCTTAAATACGACTTAAATTAATAAATAAGTCGTTATATTTACTTCAATTAACTAATTAGATCAAATTCTAGCAAACTTCTACAAGTCTAATTCAAACTTCATCCTGACTAAATCTATTTATAAATATTATTTTGATTCATACCTGATTTATTGAGACAATTATCTTTAATTATTAATTTTATATAATTAGAGGTGTTCATCATTTGACTCAATTACTTATATATAGTTTAAATAAATAAATACATTATTATATAATTAGTGTATAAAAATAAAAGAACCAATTAATTTTTAAAAAAAATACAAAAAAGAAGAAGAAGGTAATCTTCAAAAATTATTGATTTGTATAATTACTTGCAGCCTCAAATTTATCAATCTTGTATTTTATATATTATGAAACATATTATTTTTAATATTAATTTCACCTTTTTAAATGTATAATCAATTTTAAGAAAAATTAAGAGTCATAAATATATTTATATATTTAATTATTTTGGTATTTTATTACTATTTTAAAATAAGTGTTTAAGATATATATTTTTTATATAAGCACTTATTATTATTTTTAAAAAGTATTTATGAAATTTTTAATAATTGTAGAGATATTATGTATATGACCTTTATTATTCTTAATAAGTAATTATATTAATTTTATATATAAAAAAATTGATTTTTCGTAAGTGCTCATATATATATAGAAAGAAAAAAATATTGCAATTGTTATTGTACATCTACTTTCGATAAATTTGTAATAATAATTTTAACGAAAAAGGGTCAAAATATTTCTAAATTATGTAAAATTGATTTAAAATGTCGATAATTGATATTTTCGTCTAAAAATACCCCTAACGTCAATGGTATGACCCAAAAATATCCCTATCACTAATAATTTGATCTAAAAGTGTCTCTATTATTACCTAATGGGTCAAATAAAAATAAAATGTTTCTTTTCTTGTTAAACACATTTTATTCCTAATAAATATATTACTTTTGAAGAATCCTATATTTTTAAACCACTTTAAATAATAATTAAGTAGGAAATCATCTTTTCTCCTTCTTAATCTCATTTTATCAATTAAAATATTTCAACTACATGTATCTTTTTAACTAAGTATATAGGTCATATACATAAGAACATAGTAACCTCATTAGTAATTTTATTTTGATAATGATAAAAGAAAATCTAATAAAAATGGAGAATATTTTTATTTCTTTATCTTGTAGAATTGAAGTAGGATAAATATTTCCTAATGAAAAATTATTATTATTTGAAAAATAATGTGTTTTAAAAAATAAAATAATATATTTATATGAAAAAAAACATTATTGACCAATTAAGTAATAATAGAGAAATTTGTGGATCAAACTATAAACGACGAGGACATTTTTAGACCAAATTAATAAATGAGGACATTTTTATTCAATTTTTTTATAGTTCAAGAACACTATTTTCCGTAATTTTAATAACAAAAACACTTTATAGCTACACAACCATAAAATAATGATGAGTTAATAATTGCATCAGTACTAAATTTAAAATGTATATTTGATTAAAATGAAATTTGTAGCTAATTTTTGTGGTAACACATGCAAAAGATTTTGATACGGAATTTCCGTCAGTAACATTATTATTCATATTAATTTTTTATAATTTTTTATATTATGTCATACTAAGTATTGAAAGAAAAATAAATTATAAGGATTTAAAACTCTTCCATATTTAGATCCAAACCCAAAATCTTCCCCCAAAATGAAAAATTGTAAAAGTCAAAATTCCCTCCATTTTTTTTTAAGCCCAATTAGAATATTAATAACCTACTTCCTTTTCCACTATCGCCTCCCCTCCCCTCCCCTCACTTTTCATTTACCTTACTTTCTTGCTCAACTTAAAAATTTTATGTACTCTCTCCGTTTCACAAAGAATGACCTGGTTTGACTTGGCACGGAGTTTAAGTAAATAAAAAAGACTTTTGAATCTTGTGGTCCTAAATTAAAGTTAAGTCAAATATACAAAATTGCCCTTAATCTTGTGGTCTTAAACATGCCACGTGGAAAGCAAAAAGTAAATTGTTACCAAAAAGGAAAGAGGTCATTCTTTTTTAAACTGACTAAAAAGGAAAGGAGGTCATTCTTTGTGAAACGGAGGGAGTAATATTTTGCTAATTATTTTTTTAATCTTTTTTTTTTAGGTTTTATATTCAAGGTACGTTCATATCTTCATATTTTAGGATTTTTGATTTTGAATTAAGCCCGTTTCATTTAAATTTTTTAATTTATAATTATTTTGGAATTTTAATAAATTGTGTCTTATGAATGAATTTTCAGATTTCAAAGTTTGATCAATGGAGTTTCAAGGAGCCATAATTTGCCGACTACAACAACAAAGTGTTGTGATTATATTGGGATGAAGATCCTTTTAAGAAGTTTAAAAAGTTTGTAGGTTTGTTTACTTTTACTGTTGCTTTGCATTTTTCCTTGATGTTATCTATTAAAATTGCAGTGAAATAAATATCTAGACATATTTGTTTCTCCTTAGAATATAGATTCTATGTATATATATAGTTGGTTCTTATTCTTGGTGCTAAAATCCGTTTTTATTATTTACAGGTATGTTAATGAAATTAAAGCATATCAATGACAAATCAAGATGATGTTGATCAAATTAAGGCACAATTGAAGACTGTGGAAGAAGTGATAAGGAAAAACTATGATGCTTTAGATTCAAACAAGATGATCTCTTAAAAAAAATGTATATTGTAGTTATTTTCAAATTGTAATACACAATTATTGATAACTTTGGGAAATATTTTGAAATAGATTTGTATCTACATTATGCAATTCTTGTGACTAAAAAAGCTTGCAAAAATTCTTAAATAGTAATGAAATTATAGAATGCGTGTATATATATAAGTTCAGAGTTTAGATGGAATGCTTGCTATCAGTGCATTAGATGTCCTAGTTGTCCAGTACCAACTCACATAATAAGAGCAGATCTATAAATTTTCACTTTTCGTAGCTACTGAATTTTTCGCTATAATTCAATATATTTCATGGCTAAAGCTATGAATTGTTAGCTACAATACAAAAATTTCTATGGCAAATACTTTATGTCATAGCCATGAATTTTATCATTCGTAACTATACACGAGTATTATTGCTACGAGACTAAGCTATAGAAATAGCTATAAAATTTAAGTTTACATGGCAAACGAACTAAATATTTTGCTACAGTGCAATACTTTTGTGGCAACATTGATGTAGATAGTTACAAATATTGTATATTGTGGCAAAAAAATAAAATTACTTGCTATAAATATATTTTTTGTGGCAATTTTTTTACCAGCATAACTACAACACAAAAAATCTGCAGCAATAGATGTTTGTTCTTAGCCACGGACCATGTAAAATTTGTAGCTAACATTTAGCCACACTACATCTTGCCACGAATGCTACGGAAAATAATATCATAGCTAAAATGTTTAGCCACGAAAAATTCCATATTTAGCTACGGTGAATTTTGTAGCAATATATGCTTTTTTTTGTAGTGAGAAACAAAGACATTGAGACTTGTATTTATCTTTCAAATTTTGTATTATTGCATTAGTGGCTTGTACACGTGACAAGTAGGTTTTGAGAGTATTGAGAATGACTAAGTTTCCGCTCTTATGTTATTGTTAGTTTATTCCCACATTTCTTTCGTATTGTTGGGTTTAAGCTGACTTGTCTTGGTGGGATTATCCGAGTGTCATCACGTTCATTTTTTAGATTGTGACAAAAAATAATTGAAGTTACACTACCTCTCATGAAAAATAATTATTTGACACATTCAAAAAATAGGCTAACATGATTTGCACAATTTGCAATTTTAAAGTATAGATATGATCATACAAATGTTATTTCACGAGGGGATTTCAGTAAAAAGTGAAGGTAAATTGTTTGAAAAACTAAAAGATGATGAATCAATCCTTGGCATTTATGGTGTTACAGTCTCAATCTACAAAATTATCATGCAAAAGCAATCGAAGGCACATAAATGAACATACATCAAGAATATCTATCGTCTATGTAAAACAGTAAAAATATTAGGTGAAATACACTAAATTATATGTTTGTACCTCATAAAATAAAAATGAGAAAATAATAAAAGCGTATGTAGCCAATTAAACCTTGATTATTCATATTTGTAGATTTAAACGATATCATATATCATCTTGATCGCAACACACAAGTCACTATACAATGATCGTTTTTTACACAAATATATACTATATGACTCGGTATATACGTGCAATGTCCGTGTTGAAAAACTTATACATAAAACAATACCCAATAGGATATATACTTAATACTATTAATAATTAAAAATATCAAAACTAAAATACATAGATTATTTTCTCAACCAAAATGTGTCAAGAGTGTATAAAAGAATGTAGGGAGGAAATTAGAACCATTTTTGGCGGCAATAGAATGGACATTTATTGGTTGGATTTGGACTGTTAATTCCACGTAGAAATGAGTAGGCCTATTTTGTTTTGTTCCTCTTGTACCATTTCTCCATTCAGAATGTGAAATAAATTTGAATTTACAGAGTTTGAAGGGGGTTGAAATGAATGCTTGCTCGGAATATTATTCCGCACAAATATAGTAAACACAATTTCTTATCCCTAAAAACATCTACGTATTAATTTGTTGTTGTTGAATCAATCACGTTAGAAAATGCCTTCAACGATTCAAGGCGATGAGGGTATGAACCCCATTGTTGTGGCAATTGATAAAGACAAGCACAGCTCTTCTGCTGTCAAATGGGCGGTTGATCATCTCGTCATAAGCAATCCAGCCCTTGTTTTAGTACATGTTAGGATGAAGAACTCACCAAATCGTAGGTACCCTCCTCCTTTTAAAATCATTTGAACGCAGACATTTGTGGTGTAAGCCTAGCCCTGCCCTGCCACACATTGAATGTTGATGACATATATATGCTTTCTATTTTTTTAAATTTTATTAATGATGATCGTGATGACTTTGTAGAGGTTGGTGGTAACGGTGCTGGTCAAAGTTCAAATCGTGGATTAAGTGATCAAGATAGTCACAAGGTGTTTATACCTTTCAGGGCTTACTCTGCACGTAAAGGGGTACGTCAATCCACTCAATACAATACAAAAAATAAGAATGTTGTCTTTCTCTATTCTTATAATCTCTCTAATTTCCCTTTTGATTAAATCTAACTTTAACTTGTGATGATGATGTGTGAAGATAGCAGTGAAAGAGGTTATTATTGAGGATATTTCAGTGTCTAAGGGACTTCTAGACTATATCAACAACTATCATATCACCAACGTCGTTGTTGGTGCATCATCAAGAAGTGCTTTTTCCAGGTTGATGTTTTTAATTTCCCCTTGCTCATTATATATATTATTGTCCCTTTGAATTGTGGATAATGATGTTCCCTTTTAATTTGCAGGAAATTTTGGACTCATGATGTTCCAACTATCGTAAACAAGGCTGCACCCGATTATTGTACTGTATACGTGATTTCAAAAGGCAAGCAACAATCCGTCAGACCAGCAGCTAAACCTCTTGCTAGTTCTTCAGCAAGGCTACCATCTTCCCAACCATGGTCAGCAGCTAGGCTAAGTAATTACTCTGAACCAGAAGATATATCCAGATCAGCATATAAAAATAGTTTTGGACCTGACATGATGCCTAAAAGTGGAACATCTAATGCATCAATCGACAGTCTTGATTTTTATTCTAGAGACCCAAAGAATTCATATACTGGCCGCAGTTCTCCCTCCGATGATACTGCTCTATTTGCACCTCTTAGCCGTGGATCAGTCGATGTCACAACCCAAAATCTTGACTTCACTCAAGTTTCAGTAAACGACAATTCTAGCTCCTCGTCTATGGTAAGTGAATATGATTATACAATACATCACAGTGCCAAATTTGCTGGTTGATACACACTCTTTAATTTACTATTCCATTTTAGTAATATATATATATTTATCCTTCATCAATTGTTGTATGCAGTGGGAGTCTGAGATGAGCAGATTAAAGCTAGAGCTAAAGCAAACCATGGATATGTACAACTCAGCTTGCAAAGACGCTGTCTCCGCAAACCAAACGGTACTAACTGTCTAAACTGTCTGGTACCGCAACGATAAAAGTCATTTATACATTTTAGGCAAAATACATGCCTTGTACAAATTAAAGTTCCTTATTTGGCACATGCATTTTCTATACTAAACCTTACAAATACTGGAGATGCACTTTGAAAGCTAATTTTTTTTAAAGAGCTATTAAGGCTAATGATGCCGAAAATAATGTTTCTTTAAAGTTCACTACTCCCTCCATTTCATTTGTGCATCTTAGTTTGACTTGATACGAAGTCTGAGAAAGTAAAAAAAAATATTGAATCTTGTGATTTGAAACGAAAGATGTGTATGCTTAATGAATCTTGTGATCTTAAACATGGGACATGAAATGTTAGAATTCAAGAGTTACCAACTATAGAAAGTAACATTCCCTCTTAAAGAAACTAAAAAACAAAACTAAGACCAAGAATGATAAAGACATATACAATCAATTCAATGTATGAATTAAGAATTATTGTGTGCATTTTCCATCATGTTGTAACTGTTTCTGTGATCCCACACAAGGCCATCGAAAATACAAATTGGAAAGTAATGATATCGAGCTCACAAGAAGTCTTTATTGATTATCTATCTCCCTCTTCTTATTTATCCTTGGATAAATTTTGCATGTTTTAGACTGAATCTCATTTTGTCCTATAGGAGTTACGTAATGTCATGTCTTCTAAGTTTTCAGGCTAAAGAGCTTCATCAATGGAAAGTGGAAGAAGGTAGTAGGTTCAAACAGTCTCGTATTTCTGAAGAGGCAGCTCTCGCTATGGCTGAGATGGAAAAAGCTAAAGGCAGAGCTGCTGTTGAAGCTGCTCAAAAATCACAAAGGTTGGCTGAAATAGAAGCAAAAAGAAGAAGGTATGCAGAGTTGAAAGCCAGGCGAGAGACAGAAGAAAAGAATCTAGCAATAAATGATCTATCTCGAAATGAAATCTGCTATAGGAAATATACGATAGAAGAGATTGAGATAACCACCAAAAGTTTCTCAAATTCCGAGAAGATCGGTGAAGGTGGATATGGCCCTGTTTACAAAGGGAGACTTGATCACACTCCTGTTGCCATTAAAGTTTTGAGATCCGATGCTGCACAAGGGATGCAACAGTTCAAGCAAGAGGTATGTTGACATTGATGTATAGATGCATATTATATAAAACATCTCATTAAGTCAAATCATTGGTCTTAGGATTCCCTTCTCATTTGCAGGTTCAGGTCCTTGGTCTCATGAGGCACCCAAATATGGTGCTACTCTTAGGAGCATGTCCCGAGTACGGATGTTTAGTGTATGAATTCATGAATAATGGTAGCCTGGAAGATCGCCTGTTCCGTAAAGGTAACACCCCTCCAATCCCATGGGAAATACGGTTCAAAATAGCTGCTGAAATAGCTACAGGGCTTTTATTCCTTCACCAAGCAAAGCCAGAACCTCTTGTCCATCGTGACCTTAAACCAGGAAACATTCTTTTAGACAGCAATTATGCCTGCAAAATTAGTGATGTTGGGTTGGCTAGGTTAGTTCCACCATCTGTAGCTGATTGTGTTACACAATATCACATGACTTCAGCTGCAGGAACTTTTTGTTACATTGA